TCCATATGTAAGACTTGTTATTTAAAAAAAAATGTTTCTTGGCAGGGAGCGTTTAATTTTTTTTTTTAAACTGGAGAAATACACATACTACTGGTTGATATTAGAAAGGCAATTGTCCAACATGGAAAGCTATAATTCTGAGAAAACTATACATTCAGGTATAAAATCAATAAATATTAATAAGCACATTATAAATACACAAAATGGATAAATAAAACTAATTATTACCTGCATTCTACATTCTCTAGGAAAGACAATAATTACCACAATTTTCCCTTTGTGGCCAGGCTCTGCAGAGGACATGACTAATAGCATCCTAGACTGCAGGGTACCAAGAGATGGATGGAGGCTCTGTGCCTATACCCAGATCTCTTTCTGTTCACATGTGGGTCCATCTTCGCTCAGCAGACCCAGAAGTAGTCAAAGTATTTCCCTTATAAGTACAACACGACATCACAAGGGAAGGTGGGCTGTGGGTCTACAGTTAAGACCCTACAGCAGCCATGATACTTCTGATTGAGAAAACCCTGAAGTGTTTATTTCACCTCTGTGACTCCTGAACTCTTCTAAGAACACAAAAAAGCAATATTTACAAGAGTCACTTTACAGCAGAAATATTTTTTTCTTAGAAGTCTGTTGATCCAGTATCTGCCCATTCCTTTTATTATGAATTGAATAAAGACACTTTAATAATACATACTAACAGGTGGAAAGGAAAAGTTTTTTTAAGGCTCACTTCCTTTAAACTGATTAAAAGCAGAATGGCCACATGCTGGTCTAAACACAACACATGACTCTGCTTTGACCTGAACTCCAACAAAGAATAATACAATATTCCTGTTTCCATTTTCCCTAGACAAACCTCAGTCCTAGGGTATGAAGTCAGCCTCTCACAGGAAGTCAACCTCATAAGTTCTGAAACGATGCTCTAGATAGAAAACAAAAGACACATAATGGAAAACCAGCCGCCATTTTTTTCCCAACCAGGAAGAGTTCAATTGTATAACATCCTTTTATTACAAAGCCAAGTCACTACTCAAAGTCATAACTTAACTCTTTGTAATACAAACAACCTTATGCTTAGGTAATAAAATGAGGAGGAAAAACTGAAATCTCTTATTGCAAACAATTTCTGAAGCAAAATTGAAGAGCCATGATATTCCTGACAAGATCTCTTTGAGTTGTGGTAAATCTGACTAAAAAATCATATAGAGTGGGATATGGTGGTCCACGCCTTCAATCCCAGCACACCAGAGGTGGATGGATCTCTATAGGTTAGAGGCTAGCCTTGTCTATATAGCAAGTTCGAAGCCACACAAAGCTATGTAATGAGAAACTGCCTCAAAACAGAACAAAAAATAACAACAAAATTCTTGTGGTGGGATAGGGTAGAACTGGACAGACAGCTCAATAGTAAAAAGTGTTTGCTAGTTCTTCTAGAGGACTGCAGGTCAGTTTCCAGTACCCATTTCCAGTAGCTCACCACTGCCTGTAATTCCAACTCCAGGGTGACCTGGGGTCCTCTTCTGGTCTCTGTGGGTACATCGATCACATGCAATACACACACACACAACATATGCATGAACACATAGTTCAAAAATAATAAAATAAAAAGTTAATTCACATTCAGAGTGTGGCAAGATGCTCAAGGAGTGTCTTAGATATTTTTCTATTGCTGTGATAATAAGACACCATTACCAAGGCAAGTTATAGAAGAAACAGTTTATTTGGGGCTTTCAGAGGGTTAGAGTCCATGACCATTATGGTGGAGAGCATTGCAGCAGGCAGGCAAGGTGCTGGAGTAGTGGCTGAGAGCTCACATACTGATCCACAAGTAGAAGACAGGAAGAGAGGTACTGAGAAAGGCACCAGTTTTCTGAAACCTCAAAGTCCACCCATAGTGACACATCCCCTCCAAGCAAGGCCACACCTCTTAATCTTTCCTAAATAGTTCACCAACAGGGGTCCAAGGAGTCACCCATGGGGCCTTTCTCTTCCAAACCACCACAAGCAGTAAGAATTGCAAGCATGAAAATCTGAGTTCAAATTCTCAGTACCCACATAAAAAGCTGAGGATGGCTGTGCATGCCTGCTATCCCAGCGATAGGGGCAGAGACGAGTAGATCCCAAAGACCTACTGGCCGGACAGCCTAGCCAAAGCAGTAGGATTCCAGTTCAATCAGACACCATATCTCAAGACAATATGATAGAAAGCAATAGAGAAAGATACCCAACATACTCCTCTGTCTAGCCTCTTCATGCCCCACCACGCACAAATAAATAAATAATTCATGTGGAAAGTAAATAAGATACAGCCTAGGTAATATATTACCAAGAATGCACAATAATGTTTATTTATTCCATGATATTATATTTGTAAAGTACTTTCAATTACTTTAAGGGTTAGCAAGGTAGAGCTCACAGGCTGTCTACTGCCCATTGTTTGCAAACCCACTGAAACATTGTCATACTTATTTGTTCATATATTGTCTATGACAGTTTTCCTTGCACAACTACAAAGGTGCATGGCTGTGACAGAGACTGTAGTCCATAAAACCAAACATAAGTGGCCCTTCACCAGAAAGGTTTAACTAGTGGGTCTTAACAATCACAGCTAACACTGGGAGAGCTTGTTAAACAGCTGTGCTGTGTCTTCAGAGGTCATGGTTTCCAATGTGTGCAGAAGCCACTGTCTATGAGCTAAACTTTGGGAGCTATCTTACCTAATCACAGATTAACAATGCCCCACAATACATACACTTAATACCTGAACTCAGTAAAAAAGGCTAGCTAGTGCAGATGAAAAGTAAGGTATCAGAGAGAGGAGTTGATAAGATGGTTCAGTGGGGGAAGGCACTTGCTTGCCAACCTGAGTTAGGTCTCCAGACCTCACAGTGGAAAGAGAAAGCCAATTTCCACACAGTCTCTGACCTCCACATTAGCCCTGTGCATGACACACACACACACACACACACACTTAATACTAAATTAATTTTTAAAAGAGAGAAGTAAGATAGCCCTCTTGACTTACATGGAATTAATTCTTGGCTCATATGGCAGTGAGCACCTATAACCCGGCATTCAGAACATGGGGCCAGGAGGATCAAACTCAAAGCCAGCCCAGTCTAGACAACAAGTTCTAGGCCAGTCTGGGAAGACACAAGTAGACCCTGATCATTAAAGAGAGCAAAGATGTCCTGTCTTAGTGGCAGACTTCTAAGGGGAGAAAGTTTTAGATTTCAGGCCTACCTGGCCTACGGAGACTGTTCAAGACCACACTGGGCAACTAAGCAAGATCCTGTCTCAACATAAAAAGTCTTTGAAAATGACAAGAAAAGAAAGGAGGGAGAAGTGGCTGACATGACTGCCACACAATTCTTCAGTCCGTATATTAAAACCAACTCACTGGAAATGCAACCTGGACGGCTCCAAAGTCAGGAGTGTTTGGTATGTGAAGATCATACAAAAAGAGACGTGTAATGTCAACATTTAAAGAGCGAAAACCCTCTTTGAGAGGGTTCAGACATAAAACTACCTAGGTAAGTAAAAAACAAACAAACCAACAACTTTTTAAGGTAGAAAACAAACACTCATCTTTAGAATAAAATGCATGTAACAGAAGCCAGTTGTTTCTGTCTTTTAAAAAGCCTTTAAAAGAGCAGAGTGCATCCTTCTGACCTCCTGCCATCCTACACAAAGGAACTCAGGGTAAATGTTAGGAACTTATAAGGTCACTGTAGACTTAAAATGTATACAGCTACTACATAGAGAGGAAGCCAGATTATAAATGCCTAACGAGCACTCACTGGAACATGAGTTATAAAATAGTATCATCAGAGAAGGCAAGAATGAACGCGGTAATTAGTGCGTTGGATGGTATTCCCACTACACACTTATGGTTCTCATTAATCAATGGAAGTCTCCCAACATCCTCTGTTGAGTGTTCAAAAGAACAGCTCACAGGGGTGAGGAAGAAGCTGAGTTCGCGAGCTTGCTGCGTTTGAGAGGCCTGAGTTCAGTCCTCAAGTGTCCCTTCACATCTGATAAAAGGAAAGGAAATTTTGCATTGGTTTGGAAAAACTACTGAAAGAGTACAATACCATAACTTGTATACCTTTTAAAAATTATATCTGAGAATTTAAAAACTGACCCACCCAGACAGGAGCCTAGAGTGAAGTAGTCAGACAACTATTCAAGGAGACAACAATGGAAGACCTTCAAAGTCGCATGGCCAAATGGAGTCCATTTAAAAAGTCCTATCTAGATTATGTTCCTAGGGGTTTCATCTGAGAGGCAGCCTGAGGAAAAACCTTTACTGCCTTCAGCTTTTCTAGAGAAAGATTACAAAAACAACACACTTGTCTCTTTTTTCCTTCATGAACCTTCTCTGTGGGCCAGGACAGGTTCCTGTCTCCACAGGTAGTTTTCTTCCCACACCTGCCTTAGACATTTGCATATCTCTAAACCAGAGACAGGTAGGTAACTCAGGCACCTAAGGCGACCTTTTCACTCTGCAAGTGGGGTTTCGTCTTCTCACAAGTGACTTAGAGAAAGAAAACATAATGAAATGCTATGCCTGATACACTTTTCAGAACATTATCTTTTATACCAAAACATCCCGATAATTTATTTGCTTTGGAAAAACTAAGCCAAAGGACAAGAACTTTTATTCTTCAATCTTAGCTTAAGCAATACGGATTATATGTTCAGTCACCCATTAAAAGAATTCGGAATTCACCATCTTAGAGAAGCAAGCATCCAAAACTCAGAAAAGAAAAATAGTTTAATTGCCTGTGATCACCATTCATTATGAACTAAACCTTCTTTTAAGCAAATTAACTAGAGGCCCCAAATGTACTCAAAGTATGCCATTTTTGGGGGGGAAGGGGGATTTAATCTTCAAAAGTAACAAAAATTATGTTTAAAGACAAAAAATAGTAGTTAAAAAAAAAAAACTCCGTGTAAACTAATTTTCAATAAAGGCACGAAGAACCACTGACCTCCATCTCCACAGCAGCAATGCCCTGGTCATAATGGTGCATGAGGTTTGGGAAGAATGTCATGTTGTAGGTCATTTTCATGCATCTGGGGACAGTGATTGGTTCACAGGTGAAGAGGCTGTGCCCCCTTACAGAAGGCAGGAAGAGGCACAGCCACAGAAATGGGGACATTTCCATCTTCTTCACACTCCCAACTTCACCACATGGCTAGGATTAATATTAAATGCCTTTGTCACCAGGATATTCCCATCCAGAGATAAACGTTCAGATGTCTCATCTCATTATTTTTGCCGTTTTGTGGGAAGCTGCTTCCTGAAAAAGAGCTCTGGGTCAGCTTCTGTAAAAACAAACCCGAAGTGTGTTATCGGCAACATTGGTCACATAATCAGATTTACGTCAAACTTCATTCTTAGGTGACTGACAGTGGGGGGGGGGGATTGTGGAAAATTCCATCCTAGCATGAGCTGCTTCCACCTGCCTTGGCATGGAATGGATCGTTTTTTGCTAAGGAAGCTTCAGTTCTGGAAAACTGCTGATGAAGGAAGGTTTAGGATGAGACACTGGGTGAAAGAGACAGGGATGAGCAGGCTGGGGGTGGGAAAAGGGATGTAGTGGTTAGAAGTAAAGAATCGGGAGACGTGCAGCCAAGGGCTTGGTACTCTCGCTATATGGAGGCCAAGTGGGATCCCCTAAGACCCAGAGCTCTTAAACTTTAGCACCCCACAATAGCAGTGGATATCTTCTGCTTTTCCTGTTTTCCCAAAAGGCCAGTCTGCCTCGCCGGGTTGTCCGAGGTCCCCCAGGAAGAGCGGGCCTGCCCGGTGACTTCACAACGCTATTAACTCCCTCTGGCTTATTCTTCACCTCCAGCACTTTCCCCTGGGTGCGCTCATCCCGTGCCCTCTCCACCCCGCCTTCCACCCGGCGCAAACCTGCCACGGGCAGCTCTCCGGGTGCCACCTGTCCCCGGCCTGCAGCGGAGCCTCGGCGTCCCAGGCCTGCGGGGACCCCAGGGTCGCTTTCCAGGAGTGGCGTGGGACTCGGAGGAGACGCACCTGCGGCGCCAGCCCGGGCCGTCCGCCCCGTCGGGCCGGGGACGCCTCACCTCGGGCCGCTCGCCCTCCGAGGCGCACAGCCGGGGGTGGGGGTGGGAGGGGTGGGGTGAGGGTGGGGGGCAGCGTCCGGGCCTCCACCGCCTCCGGGGCCGCGAGGGGGAGCGAGAGCTGGGCGATCCCGCGAGACTGCGCCGCCAGGTCGGCCGGGCAGGTTGGGGCTCGCGGCGGCGGGACCAGCCGTGCGCCCCGCCCCGCCCCTCCCCGCTCGCCTGCGGGCCAGCTGGGGCCGGCGAGCCCTCTGCCTTGCCGGGTCCCTGCCACTCAGGCCCCGGAGCCGCACTGGGGACCCAGGCGGCCAGCGCAGGACTTAGGGACAGCCCCCATCAGGACACACTTCCCGCTCAACCGCGTGGGTCTGCCTCGCGGCGACTCGTCCCCCGCGTGGGAGCCCGGGGACCTGCCTACGAAGCCCATTAACTCGGGCACTCAGGCCACTGCCTTGACGGAAGGCGCCGGTGGAACTCCAGCTCCGGCAGGTTCTGCAGCTTTCCTGCCCGAAAAGCCCACAAAACTGACCTGACTTAGTCAACTAGTGCCAGCTCTGCCACTGTCATTTCAGATCCATTACCGAAAAAGGGCGTGGGAGATCTCACTATGGAGACAGGAAAAATGGGCACGATGATAGCTACTATTTTCTCCTTTCTTTCCTTTTTCTTTCTTTCTTTCCTTCTTTCTTTCTTTCTTTCTAAGTCCTTTACATTCATTTAAATCTAGTCTGGTGTGCAGCAGGGCACAAGCGAACTTGTTGAAATGCTTTGACATACGCAAAGTGACTTTTGTTGTTGTTCCTAATGAGGAGAGAACCAAAGGCCTTGTGCATACTAGGAATAGCATGTCTACTTTGTTAAATTGCATTTCCAGCCTGTAAAGTAACTTGAGAGTGCTATGAGCCGAATCACTGTGCCATAGAAAAAAATACATTTCAATACCTGGGATAAAGGACACCACTGAATTACCAGAAGAGATTTGAGATCTGTAAAATGGTTAAAATGCAGATGAATTTGGAGAGGAGAATTGTTTCCGAGCTTTATCAAAAGTTTAGGACAAGCCCAGCATGGTGGCTCACGCCTTTAATCCCAGCAGAGGCAGGCAGGTCTCTGAGATCCTTGGACAGCCAGACTATACAAAGAATCCCTGCCTCAAAACAAAACAAAAGCAAAAGCAAAAAAAGCATAGGACAAGTGTAAAAGCCGAGGCAGTGTTAAAGAAAATTTACTATAATTACCTTAATTAATCTTAATATCATTAAAAGCCAGTTTGCATACTACTGAATGGTTTTCTATGTATGATGTTTCTATGCGGAAAATATTTCTTACAAAATTTGTAAGTTTCTATATAAAAGGAATATTTCTCAGCTGGGTATGGCTTCAACAGCCTGGATTTCCAGTACTTGGAAGGCAGAGACAGATCATCTCAAATTCTAAGTCAGCCTAGGTTACAGAGAAAATTGAAGGTCACCCTGGGATACATAATGAGCCCCTGATCAAAATACCATACCGAAGGAAAAATCATCTGTAGCTCCCTAACTCCTACAAGCTTTGTGAACATGTCTTTGATTGGTCTGGAATACCTGAACCAGGTAGTGGCATTTTAATGTGATGGATTTGAAATTCATAAACATATATACTGTGTGATTTGGAGGATAAATGCCATGATAGTTTTTTAGAAGTGCAGCCTATTTTTATCCTTAATTGCATTTAATTATATAGTGAGTAGTTATGAACTAAAATGATTTGGGGACATTAGAGGTTGGATGTAGAACATTCAGGCAATTATCTGTATCATTTTTGTCTTTCAGTATAAAAAGCTTATTTCAATGGCATAAGATTAAGAAACAAACTTGAGAGTTCAGAATTGCTGGTTTCAAAACCTCGCTCTGGGATCTGCCAGCTGTGTGATGTTGGACAGTGTTCAGTCCTATATGTCATCATCTGTAATACACAAATGTTTTTTTTTTTTTTTCTGGCAGTGATGGTTGTGGGGGGCGTAGCCCAGCCACAGAAAGCTGAGCTGGGTCTGAGGAAAGATAAGCCCACCTGTTCCCAAGCCTCCAAGAATCTTAGAGACAATCAGAAGAGTCAGGGAGTCCAGTCAAGCAGGAACTCATTTATTGTTCCATAGCAAGCATCTTTTAAAGGAAAAAACTGCAGATTGGGAAAACAGCCAGCTAATGGTTTTAAAGGCCAGTCTAAAGCCGGGTGTTGATGGCACACACCTTTAATCCCAGCACTCAGGAGGCAGTGCAGGCAGATCTCTGTGAGTTCGAGGCCAGCCTGGTCTACAGAGTAAGTTCCAGGACAGGTTCCAAAGCAATACAAAGAAACCCTGCCTTGGAAAAACCAAAATAAAAAAATAAAGTGAAAAAAAGGTCAGCCTATCACACACCGGCGTGGCCTTATGCTTTAACTAATGATCACGAGCTGTTCATGCAGTGACCTCCTCTGGTTCGATCTAGGCAACCAGTCATCTGTTTTTGTAAACAACTCAGGTCTCACCCTCTTGACTTCCCCTCAGCGCCATCTTTGACTGGCTCATGTGCCCTACAGATTCCCCCTTTTTGTTTTAGACTATGGCCCACCTCATTTCGAAGCACCGGCCTCTTGGCACCTCCGCCTCTAATAGTACCTTTTGTCAAGGTTCACTCAAAAGTGAGAAATCCTCAGGACTGACTGAACCTATCACAAGGTACATGAGGGGGTCATCAGTTGGGTCTCTTGAGTCTTTGCTCTGATTAGTCTGACCAGCCTATTGAAGAGGCAAGGCCCAAAGACACAAATTAAAGTTACTACTATAAAGGAACCCAACAGAGTGGGAGATTGCCTTATCCAGGAGTCTGTCCCCATTTTCTCACACTGCTCCAATGCTCACCCAGCAGAATCCTCATAGTCTCCAAATGATGACGTGGTGATCACTGAAGCAGTTAGCTTCTGCAGCGGGAGTGTCAGAGCAGTCAGGAAGCAGGACATCATCTGTAATTTTTAAAGAACACAAGAGCTTCTCAAAGGTTTGAAGCCCTTGGACATGGTTAGGTATCATTGTATTTGTCCTCTTTTTTTGTCCTAGAGGTCCAGTGCGCTATCCATTGCGCCACAGAGCCACATTGTGTTGGTCCTCTTATTTCGGAAACAAGCCTTGACCTCCTGGAGCACTGTCTTGTCTGCCCCTGTATCTACCAAACAGTGAAACATCTTACTGCCTATCAAAATGGTAATTTTTGGATGAAGTCCTTCAATCAAGAGCACAGGCCAGTGGGCTTATGTTGTTGGGGTATGAGACCTTCCAATCCTACCTTTAGAGAGGCATCCTCCCTTTTTTAAGGGGCTGGAGGCTGCCCCGCCTCTAGTTTAAAGGCTTCCCCTCCAGGTCAAATTCTGACCTAAGTCCCTCTCCCAATGGTATCCCTTCCTGCACGGAGCGCATGGGCTGGAGGGGGGGCTTAGCCACTCCTGGCCTGTTAGAGGAGGCATGCTGAAGACAATCTCTTTTGAAATGTCCCTCCTGCCCACATCTAAAGCATGTCCCTTTTCCCAGTGGCCTTGAGGACCCTTGACTATGGGTTGCCAGGGCCTGGGGTGATGGCCTCCATCATGGTGGTCATCTGTGCCTGTAAGGCCAGGGCCAGAGACTAGGATTGGTGTTGTTGGGTACCTACATCTTGGGAGGCTACCACCCATCTGCTCAGGGAACTGTCTTTTAATCCCTTGCAAGTCATTTTATGGCCCCCATTCATCCCTTCCCATAAACTGTTTTCTGAGATTTCCTGGTGGCAGCTTGTGCTGAACGAATGCTCTGTTGGACCAAGTCTATAAACTCTGACAAAGGCTCTCTGGGCATATGCCTCACCCCTGCTGTGGGGAACTCAATAGGCCCATCATCTAATTTAGCCCAGGCGTTCAACCCAGCCTGCCTCACCTGATCCCAGTGTAGCCCAGGAATTCCTGCTTGCTGGCCCCCAGTGGAATAACCATCTCCCGTTTCCGACAGCATAGCATAGGTAACAGGGATGGCAGAGTTAGTATGCCTATTTGCCTTAGCTCACACCATACATTCCTCCTTATAAAAGACACACCATTTGATAAACTGAGAACTAGGGAGGACTGCCTTAGCCACATCCAGACAATCCTTGGTGATGCATGGATGATAAATGATGTCCTATAACAGGGTCTATGCCCAAGGGGAATTAGGGCCATCTTCTGCCACAGCCTTGCTGGAGTTCTTTAAGATCCTTGGCTTCCCAAGGATACCAGTCTAGAGGCCTTCCAGGCCCAGGAGCCAAGTTTACCAGATAGGCTTCCAAATAAACCTGGCCTCCAGGTCTCAACCTGCCATTGTCTGGTTGATCATAGGGGTCCAGGTCCCATGGATTTTCCCTGAGGGTTGTATAGAAAGACCCAACCATCTGGAGTGGACAGTTTGACCCATTCCTTCTCTGTCTTATCTTTGGTGGACTTCTCCAGTCCTCTTCTTCCTTCTTACTGAAATTAGAGCTACCCATACTGAGGGTCTCACTTACCCTGAGAGACTGCTTAGCCTCTGCTGAGATTTAGGTCCTTGGTACCCCATTTAGGGTGCCAGATGCAGGGGTCTAAGCCTAGCCAGGTCTTAGGAAAGGTAAGCACTCTGCCCATCTGTTCCCCAGTCTCAAGAATGTCAGTGACAATCAGACGCCACAGGGAGTCTAGTCAAGCAGGAACTCGTTTATTGTCCCATAGTAGGCATCTTTTAAAGGAAAACACTGTAAAGCATGGAAAACAGCCAGCCAATGGTTTTAAAAGTCAGCCTAGGTGGCCTTATGCTTTACCTAGTGACCACAAGCTATTCATACAGTGACCTCATCTGGTTCTATCTAGGCAACCAATTATCTTTTTTTGTAAAAAAAAAAATGCAGGACTGGATGCCCTCTAAGACATTCCCTTCCAGTCCTCGTTTGCTAACAGTAAAATTTTGTCAAATGCTTTT